TGGACACGCCTGAGTACATCTGAGCACATACCTGAACACAGATGAGTCCACTGATGTCAGTTTCCTTGTCTGAACACCAGGGATCACAACAGTACATGAGTATAAAGTTGTTAACAGGATCACTTAGCAGTTAGCACGAACCTAATAAATGTTAATTGTCATTACCACCATCACCATCATCATCATCATCCCTGTTACTGGCTAAATAAAGGTTCCTCATTAGTTAAAAAAAAAAAGGGGGGGTGGCTAATCATCTGTGGATTCATGGTAGTTACCGATTGGATTGAACCAGGGTTTATCTTCACTCACACACACGCAGTAGGGACTGGGAATACAGGAGCAAGCAGGGTCAGGCATCCTCCCCCATGGAGCCAACATGATATGGAGACTAAAGGAGTAAACAAGGAAAGGAACAAAAGCAGCCAGCAAATGGCCCACAGTAAATGCTCCCTAAATATATTTAGATTGGGTAGTACAAAGACTTGGAGTCTTTATCCACACTCAGCAGGAAGGGAGGAAGGACCTTTTGTTTCCTCCATTCCGCTCCCTCCAGCTTCCTCCCCCTTAGCCAGACATAGACCTGGAGTTTAATTAAAAAAGGGAACTTCAGCACAGGCACCATCACAGAGATGTGGAATCAGCCCAAGTGCCCATAGTTCATGAGTGGATTAACAAATGTGGTATACGAGTACCATAGAGTACTGCTCAGCCATAAAGACAAGTGAATTAATGTCTTTTGCACCACACATACTCCATAATAAGTTGGAACTAACTGATGGGCACAGAGGGGAGGCATTGGAAATCAAGAAGGGGAAATGGGGAGAAATGGAGGGGCAAAAATCTCCTTAATGGGTGCAATGAACACTATTCTGATGAGAGGCACACTGATAGCCCTGACTCAGGCATTACAAAAGCTATCCATGTAACACAATGCATTTGTTCCTTCATGATATTTTAAAGTAAAAAGAAAAATTACCCATCAGGCAATGTATGCTGTTCTGGTGACAGACACATTAAAAGTCCTGCAATTCATCTATGTAACAAAAACACTGTACCCCCTTAATATTTTGAAAAAAAAATTCTTTCACAATTTAAAATAATATTTTAATTTATCAAAAAAAGATGACGTAGGGCTTATGGTTCATACCAGTACTAGTGCAATACTTAATTTTTAAACTCAAGATTGGTGGCTGTAAAGTGGCAGTGCAGCTTCTAGAGCAGGAAGAGAACTAACTTTAAATGTCTGTGCTGGTACAAGCTGGTAAGTGACTTAGCCTCCCCTTTCAGGCCCTGTTCCCTCATCTGTGCCACTGCACCCACCGAGACCTCTCATCCCACAGTCCTCCCACTTCGGTAAAGCGCACCCTTAGGTACTCAGCTGTTTGCACTAAAAGCCCTTCTTCCCCTCCCCCTACCCACAACACTCCCTTAGCGAGCGCTGCGGGCCCCACCTTGGGGAGGCATCCTTATCTGGGCCAACTACACAACATGCTCCTCCTGCCGTAGGCCACCTGGGCTTTTGAGTCAGCTCTTAATTGGATTCCAAGCTTCCTAGGCCGCCCCCTAAGTACTCTACAAGTGGCCAGAGTGATCCTCCAGGAAGAAAAATAAGATTCTTTAGTCTTTCAGCTTCTAGCTTTTGTACATTTGGTTTTCTCAGCCTACAGAGCTCTCCCAGAAATCTATGTGCTCACTCTCTCACTTCACCTATCCTCCCTAAATTTGCATCCCCAAATCAGAGAACTCCTTTGTACTGCTTTACTTTTATTCATGACACATATCACTGTCTTTGAAGATAGACTGCTTGTCTACTTGTTTAGAGTCTGTATCCTCCACTAGAACGTAAGATTCCTGAGTTTAGAGCCCTTGTCTGTTTTGTTCATTTCTAGAACCCCAGAATCTGGGCCTGACAAAGGGTAAGTAAGCAACAGATATTCATTGAATAATGGATAAAATGTCAAAGCACAGTAATAGCACACCCCACAAGTACAATGAGGATTAAATAACATCGTGTTTGCATACATTAAGAACACCAGTACAGAACGCTAAGTGTGCTTACGTAGATCTTTCTTCCTTCCCTCCTGTTTTCCTTTTCCTTTCTTCTTCTTTTTTAAAAATATGTAATAGTAAGCACCATAGTCAGGATATGATACTGGATTTGAGAATGACCATAGCTGCTTTATGAGGCCAACAAATAGCCCTTCTTTTTCATGTCTTCATTGATATATACCTATAGGTTCCTGACCTGGAGGCAGGCAGTGTAAGAAGTTCCAGAGCTAAATCACAAGTTTTATCCCTCATTTTATGTGATATGAACAATTTGGAAATTAAGTATAATAAAAGAAAAATCCGAGGTTTCCTGGTTGACTTAGGAACCCCAAGTACATGTGGAAGCAGCAGGTTTCCCCTTTCCAATAACTCTCCTCGCCTATAAATTATGTTAATTGCTTCCATGTGCCCACAGCCCAGAGGGAGTTTTGCAATAGCCTTTGAGGAGATTAGTGGTCTCTGATGTTCCCTGTGAAATTCAGAGAAACATCTGGAAGTAATTTAAGTTAAGGAATTAATGATTGGGAAGTTAAATAATACATGACTTTCAAAAAAAGTAAATGCAGAAAAATTTATTAGCCCTTGAACCTCTGGGTTTTAACTTCCATTTTTTTGTGGATTTACCTGAAAAAAGATTAAACTATAGTATATTCATCTCTTATTCAGTTTTGCATGCTTGCTTGACTGATTTTTAGTAGGACACATGATAGATTAAATGGGGTCTGACATTAAGGTTTGCAGAAGAGAAGCTCCCAATTCTGCTTTGCGTCTTCTGGAGAGACAAGGAAAGAAGGCTTCTGTAGGCTTCATGGTCTCCAGGGCCGTCTGCAATTCAGGAACATCTGAAGACAGTGGATACCTTCAGGGTGCTGTGAAGTGGGCCTACCTCACTGACGGCCCCGCTCCACACCACCCCGCCACTGGTTTATACATACATAAACAGGTATGTATTTTGTCATGGCCTGTTCAATAGCCGCCTCTTCTGATTATTTGCACCATGGAGACCTAGTCCAGGACCTGCATTTATCTTTGCAGTTGGGACAGCAGAAGAAGTGATGTGGAGAGAAGAGGTGAATTATGAACCTGCAAAGAAGAGCCCGAGAGTGGAGGGCACATTTGGGGGCTTTTATTCATTTTTTTGGTTCCTATTATGATGTATCAGATAGGAGGGAGAGAGGATGAGGTCGATCCCCATCTTCAGTGGCAAATAATGGGATGTGTTGTATTTCTACCCCATGGCAGTTAGATAGCTAGAAAGAATGAAATGAAAAATATTCATCCTCCGGTGACTTCCAGGCTAAAAACAATGAGAAGAAAATGTGCCTTCCATTTTGGGAGTCCAAGCCCATTATCAACTTCTCTCCAAGCTCATGCCTAAGCTAGCAGACTTGGGTGGTAATTAGACAATTCTGATCATTTTACAATACATTTGAAAAATAAAGCCTAGCTATCCAGAAGTCCAAGAAGCAAGCTTTTGGGCCTACCTATTTCTCTGGCAGCCTTCTCCCCACACCAGGCCAGGGGAGCTGGCTGAGAGAACTGGTTAGTGTCCACTGCGCCTCTCCGCTGGGTCCAGAGTTCCCAGCGTCACTCCCTGGGAAAACGTTTCCTCTGTGGGGAGCACCCTTAGTCTTCTGCCATGCTATCAAATTCGCTTTAAGTTCTCATCCAGTTACCCTGGGGCTGAGTTGGGGGATTGAGGTATGAGTTTGCGGTTTCCAGTTTTTTTAATTCTTTCCTGGACTGATGGTGAGATCTGACCCAGTCAAGCCTCCTTGTGAGGTGGGGCTGAGCCCAGGTGACAGGTGATCCCGTGGGTGGTGAGTTCCAGACAGGAGGGGACCCCTAGGATCTGCAGAGAGGTTTGGAAAGCTGGTGGAGGCCTAGGAACTGATGGCCAGACACCAAAGGGAGTCCAGTCCAGCCCTTGGATTGCTCGGCACTCCTTCTGGCAAAACAGGCCCTAAGGGCCCCCAACAGCGGTCACCGCGCAGCGAAGCAGCTGGGATCCCTGAAAGGAGGAGGCAGTGCTGGACAAACCAGAGAGGGAAGATACAGGAGCAAATGCGGGAAAAGGACAGATCTTCCTTGTCTAGCTCTGCAGAGGAACCGCAATTGCGTGAGCAAGTCTAGAGAGGAGGGAGCCGTGCCTTCCCTAGAATAGTTAATACAAATACATGGGGGGGGGGGCAACGATATATAGGATGTGCAGTGAAAAATGAACTTTTATCGCTGCGTTTTAGTCCTCCCAGAGACACCGCTGTTTCCTCGTGCCTTCCCCAACATAACACGCATGCACACGCGCGTCTGTGTAAATCGTGTCTCCACCATTCCGCACCGTGCTTTTTCTCACTCAAGACTCCATCCAAGAGATCTTCCCGCAGAGGCTGCACAGAGCTTTTAATTCCAGGCGTCCCTAGCTCTCAAAGCTAACACTAGGCATGACCCAAAGTTGAGAAAGAGGGAGTGACGACCACCTGGGCCCTCCGTGACCGCGGGATCCGGAAAAAGATACAGCGCCGAGTGGAGTGGCGAGTACTTGAGCAGAGCTCGCGTCCAGGGAGCAGGAGCGCGCTCTCCCGCACCCTCCGCCGAGCTCTGGCCCGCCGGCTAGGAGTGGGGGGTTGGGGCG